AATACCTGCAATACTTTCCTCTCCCAAGTCACATCACCCCATCTCCTCCCTCCGCCATGGCCTCTTTTCTCCCTCAAGTTGTGGAGATGGTTCTGTCAGTCCCCAGCTCAATTTCATGGGTGTTCAAAATGATTTCATCGTTGTGTAGCTGCTGAGGGGCAAGGGAAGGATAAAGGCCTTCTTCTGCTCCACCATCTTATTGCTCCCCCACTTCTAGTTTATTTTCACTTTTAGCTATTGTACTCTTCAGGTTTGAGTGCATTTTAAAATATTGATGATAATGTTTCAAACTATAAATATATATTTGTATTAGTATTCAAGTGAACCGTTAGAGCACTTTCAGTAAACACATGTGAGATTGGTTAGGTCTTTTCACTGTTTGAGAAGGCATTAAGGAAGTAATCTGTGAGACGTTAATGTGTGAAGAATGTATGCTGTAAAAGAGAACACAGTAAAGAGATATTTAGAGCATATTAAATCAACAAATTCTAACAGAAGAAAGTTCAAATATTTATTGTGGAAGATAAGAGAATAAAGAAAAAGTAGAGTTCAAAGAAATGGTAGTTTTACCCCAAATTAAATTATGAGTATATTATATTGAACAATCATGTCATTTTGCTCACACAGAGATAACATATATTAGCAAAACGTACATGATAACTTAAAAATTACACTAATTTAAGCAGAATAATTTTAATTCCAATACCAAGAATGTTTAACTAACTGTTGGCTCTTTTAAGGAGATACTTCCTCAACAGAGCAAAGGGAATAATGAGCCTATCAAGATTTAACAATATGAAACTGCATATGGTGGGAGAAAAGTGGGAGAAGCCTGCTCTAGCTAATGTACTGTCACAGTACAAGGTGGGAACAATTGCTGGAAATGATGGAGCACATTTCATAAGGGTAGATTGAGTGTCCAGACCATTAGTGATGTTCATAAAACCTGTATGCACTTAATAATAGAAGTTCAACAAAGATTTGACAAAACGGAAGAAGTAAACAATCATTAAAAAGAGATTAAACAACTGGATCTTCCTGCTTATCAGACAAGTAGATGTATCTGTACGGCTATCAAAAGACTTAATATGCACGCACTTAAATACACGATATAGTAGTATAGAATATTCATATATTTTTTTAAATGTTTAATGTTTATTTTTGAGAGAGAGAGTGAGGGAGGGGCAAAGAGAGAGGGAGACACCAAATCTGAAACAGCCTTCAGGTTCCAGGCTCTGAGCTGTCAGCACAGAGCCTGAAGGGGGGCTCGAACCCACTAACGGTGAGATCATGGCCTGAGCCGAAACTGGCTGCACAACTGACAGAGACACCAGGGCGCCCCTAGAATATTCATATTTTTAAAATTCACATGAAAATGTTCCCAAAAATCTTTTAAAAAACACTGTGAACTCACATTTCCAAGTATATTAATATAAAATATATGGAACTGTGATGTCACTGCATTAGCCAGCCTTCACAATTAGGTACATGTAGATGAATATTTACATTTAAGTTTTCATAATTAAAAATAAATAAAAGCTTGCTATTGGTACTGCAGTCACGCTAGCCATGTTTAATAGAATTGTTAACCGTGTCCACCTGCAAAGAAAATTCTCTAATTGCGGTTCACCTAAAATAAAGTCAGTAACCAATAATTTGAAAGTCCTTTAATGGTTTTAACTCACTAACATATTTCTAATTAGCATATGAGCCAAATTTATAATCACAATGAATGTCTACAATTTTTCTATAGGATTAACAAGAAAAAACATAACAGCAAAATTGTGTCTTGTGCAATATTAATTGCCTTAAGTGCATTTATTACAAAAGAGAAAGAGAACAGCAGTGTGAGCATATATGACAAGAAACTAAAATATGACAGCAAACATCAGGTGAAATTAAATCTGAATGAAGTCAGTAAAAGAAAACAATAAATGGTACAGAATCATGACAAAGAACAAAATTGTAGTAAAGAGGATCATAAAGGACAAAGGTATTCTCATTGAAAAGACAATGAAGTGGATAAGACTGTCAAACAAAAAAAACCACACAGATCTTTTATATTTACATTAAGCTTGGGAACATATAATTGTTTTTGTAGATATTAAAGGGCAGTAAAGCCATATTGTAAATAGATGTGAACATTTATATGGAGCAGAAAATTCCCAGAAAATGAAAATTACCAAACTGGTGTATAAAAAAAAGAAACTTGAGCAAACGTAGCATGTATTAAAGAAATTGAGTTCATTACAGAAATAGTCCTACCAAGAAATCTACTCAGAAGCTAAAATGGCATTAATAGTGAATAATGACACTTAAAAAACATTGATCAAGTCGCTTACCGTTATTATAGTTGTCATTTGTAAACACTGGAAGACAATGTTGCAACCTTTGCTTTGAATACTCACATAGTCTGCAAAGAGCTTCACAGAAGTTGGTCTTTCATTTACCTAGATACTTATGACTTATCATTCCTTTCTGACCTTCTCAAATACCCAGTTTTCCATCTGGTACTATTACCCAGAAGCCTGAAAAATTCCTTTCCCTTAGCACTTCTCTCAATGCAGGCCTGCTAATGATGGAGGTTCCGAGTAGTTGTTTGAAAATATCTTAATTTACCTTTATTCTGGAAGGCTATTAATGACATAGAATTCTGGGTTGGCAGGTTACTTTTCTTGAGATGAATATTCTACTATCTTCTAAATTTCATAATTTCTAATGAATTTCAAGACATATCAAGTGTTGTTAGTCTCTCATTGCTTTCAAGATTTCCTTTGGATCTTGTTCAAAAGAATGACTACAATGTATCCACTTGTGATTTAGTTTCTATTTATCTTATTTAGGTTTCCCTGGGCTTCCTAGGTTTAACTAGGTGTTTTTCAACAAGTTTGAAATAGTTTCACCCATTGTTTCTTCAAATATTTTTCTGCCAATTGTTTCCCTCTCTTGGTAAGATGCTAATTACACATGTCTCAGAACTCTTCATGTTATCACATTGATCTCCCTTTGAAAAATTATTTTTGCTCCTCTCAAATTGGATGATCTCTGTTATCCAACTACAGCATTTGGGGACCCACCACCTAATTTTTAAATGTTATTTTATGAGATGAGGCTCCAGAAAGAAACAATGGATGTAACTAAGGGAAGTGCCTCATAAAATGTAGAGCAAAGCAACAGTTTTTAATGTTCATGTCTGATTTTATCCCCAACTTTATACTCATCATGATTACCAGAAAACAACATTTTCAGATTAGTAAATTTGGTTCATGGGATTAGGCAGACACAGCACCGTCCTTCCTACATTCTCCTTTGGAACAGGCTACTGGCAAAGCAGACACTTGCTGCTCTGTTACAACAATGGTAAATTTCCAAAGTGCACCACCTCCTCTGAATTTAGTACTGAAGTGAAGACTGCTTAACTCTAGGATCCAGAATAACAAGCCCATTATGTTCAACACCTAGCGTATATTTTCAGAAAGGCAGATGCAGAGAAATCTACCATTCAGTTCTTTATATCCCTGACTTCTCCATGACTCTTTGTACTCTGAATTCACGCTTGATTAATACCCTCCTAATTTTGTTCCATATGTATACAGTTCCAATGGTTTGGGTGAATCCCCTAACCCATGCTTACTCTACTAAATAATTCCCATGGCTTCTTATGGACGCAAGTAAGATGTTAGGTACCTTTCTATACATGTATTTAGATATGTAAACAATAGGGAGAAAATTGGGAAGTGTTCCACATTAGAATGTACTATGCAGCCTGTCTCTTCCTTTTCTCTATTCTCAATAGTAAGAGATGCATACATGTCAATGGGATACCCCAACATTGGAGAGAAAAGGACATTTCATTCCCTTCTTCCCTAGGATGCTGCAGGTTCCCCCAAATCTAGGAACCGATCAGGCTACCTTTCCCAACTTGGCAATTCCCTTCAAAATGTCTTCAGTTCCATACAAGACAGCCCTTACGTATGTCGAAGTAACACACTGGGCGAGAAGACTGGGGTTCTTGACCAACAAGAAAAACAACGGAAATTGGGGCTTGATTTCCAAAATGAAAATGCATGCCCAGGAAAAAATTACTCTTGTTCAGTGTCCATACACAATGTGTATGAATTTCTCAAAGACTTTTTTCAAATGCAAATATCTTTGATGTATATGATCAAAGTGTTTAAGTCATATTACATTGCCATTGCCCAGTTAAACCAATATATTGTAACAATTGAGATTAGAATGCGCTGAAAGGAAGTAGACAGTTTTATTTGAAATCAGCTTTTATTAAACAGTAGGAAGAGCAAAATATGAACGAATCACATATAACAAGAACATCATGTGGTTAGGCTTTATTTTGAGGATATTTAGACATTATATTATTTATTCTTCAGATCAGCCCTATGAGGTGGCTGTAGTTATGATCGTTATGTCACAGGTGATGGCATAGAAGCATCAAGATCTTGAGTCAAAACGACTGAGATCTAGTGAATACTTGTGTACCAAGAGGTACTGTTCAAGTAATCTCAAGTTACTCTAGGAATATGATACTATTTCTAGTATATTTTTCAGAAGATGAAACTGAGCCTGAGCAGTTATGTAACTGACACAGGCGAAGAGTGTGCATTCAGAAATCACACGGAAGTGATCTAGTTGCGTTGCTGATGCCCTTAAACTTTATCCCATACTGTTTGTTCCCCATTTGTAAATTGATCAAGGACCCTGGAGCAAGCATCTTTTTGATGAGGTTTACCAGTACACAAAGCTATTTTACAAGAATTTTTGGCACAGCAAAAACAAAAACTAGTTGGGACGTTAAGGACTAATTTTTTCCATCTATTTCTCAATAATTTTCTTCTACAAACACATTTATCTATCGAATGAAATATAATGAGAGACATACTCCTATGGCTAATATGGTTATTTTTCAGTGAATCTACATTTCTTTCTTCTGACCCCTTTGAAAAGAGTATACTTTACAGTCAGTGATATATTTGGCCATCTTACTTGTTTCACAATATAATGTGAGTGGGAATGGGATAGCAATGAGTTCCGGCATCAAGAAGCACATTATGCTCGTTGCTATCTCTGCTAGAAAAGATCATATGCCAAGTAGCCTACTATTCTAAGAATAAAATATGAAAAACAGATCTGAGCTGAATTGTAGTCTAGAGCCAAGTCCATACATGCCCAGCCTTGATCAAATAAAACATAACCAAACCACAAACTGGTGAATGAGAAATAAAGACTTATTTTTAAGGCCAATGCAATCTTGGGTTGTCTGCAACACAAATTTAGCAATTAATTACAGCTACCGATTACATATAATTAAACATGATTTTAAATATTCATATAATTTCTCTATGAGCATAAGGAGTAATTAATAGAATTTTAAAAATATGTTATCTTCAAAGAGATCAATGTATATGAAATATGAATTTATTTTGCAAATAATAATCAAGTTTAATCGCTCTTCCCCTGTACTTGAATTAGAGCGAGAATATCTCTGCATTATTATCAAACTACAGACGTTTGTTCTAAATTCTGACAATAACTAGCTATTTGACCCATGCAAACATCCTTAGACTTTTAATCATTGTTTTGTTCACAATTTAACATTATTTTTTATATCAAAATATTTTCTAGCACGGTAGTAAAGAATGACAAAAGTGGGGACAAGAGGAATTTGATAAAACCAGATCTCGTGCAAAATATCCGAAGTCCAGATGGGGAAAACGACACTCAAGAAAAAGTATCCAAGGACACTGGTTATTATCTAATGAAAAGCCAATCCTCACCAAACAATGAAATATTAGTGCTGCACTTTGGTTTGATTTTCTGAGGAAGTGGATAGATCTGAATGACTCATATAGCAATCCTGTGGTTGTTGCATCTCAGCCCTGAGTGCCCGTTAACAATTTAGTACTTTCAGCTCCAAATCTTTACCTCGGTGCCCTGTTCTCAGATAATGGAGGTAGATCTTACTAACTACCTTGTCAGCTTACATGAGATTCTGTCAGCAGAAGACAATGGAGAGACACTGCAACAGAAAGGGTTCTTCTTCCAGGTTTCATGGTATTTTCGCCTTTGGCTGCTATGATTTGGTTGCCAGCTGGATGCTTGCACGTCAGCCTCTAGCAGGCTTTAGTATCCAGTACCAGTCAGTTTCTAGCCCTCGGGTCTGTGACTCCTAACACTCTGGCAGGAAATTCTTTCTCCTTGCCCATCACAACCTGAGATTCATTATCAACTAGTTCAGTCTGTGGACTGTGGAGCTCCTCTGTCCCGGAACAATCCAGTGAGTATGTCTGCCATGAAGCTGTGGGCAGCCATACTGTCTTCAGTGACATTTCAATCCCATCTTCAGAGAGTAGACTTGGCTTCCCAGTGATCCCTCCCTTGGGTCCTCCTTTTAACCCTAAGACATTCTTATCGTTTTCTTTATCTTACTAGCCTTTCCTCTTCGTAGGCTTTCCTCTTACAAACTTTCCCTTAAAAATAGATAATTGTTTAACTCAAACTTCTCCAGGTTTCTGTCTCTTGCCTCAATTCTGACTAAAAACCCTGCCTCCCTGGATTGTTCAACCTTCTTTTGCAGCCCATTTAAGGGGTAGGACAAGTCAATTAATTTTTGAAATCTGAGTGGAATTGTTCATCTTTTTGAAGACTTTACAATAGCAGTGCTTGATATTAATTATATCTTGTAACTTAAATATAATTTAGTTTAACAAATATCAAAAACTTAAGAAATGTATTACATGTTCCTGAGACTATATTATTTACAGTAATATAAATAAACATTGAAAAATAGTTCTACAACACCAAGGTTGAAACCCGAGGTACACTTTGGGTTTTGGGTGATTATGATGTATCACCGTGGATTCATCGTTGGTAATAAACGGACTACGTTAGTGAGTGATATTGGTAATGGGAGACGTTATGCATGTGCATAGACAAGAACAATATAGGAAATCTCTGTATCTTCCTCTTAATGTTGCTGTGAACCTAAAATTGCTCTAACAATAACATCTTAAAAATACTCGGAGAAAACAATTGTGTGGCTTTGAAGAAGATAAAGATACGCTCTTTAGATGGTGTGATAGCATTATACCAAAATTAGGTAACTAGTGCTTGATGCTTACAAACATATGGTCTTTCTTCTAAACAGGACACAAGAGACGTTATGTAGGATTCAAAATTGAAATATGGACAATTCCGGTCACTCTCTGAGGATGCTGACAACCTGAAAGACAGAGAATTTTACCCTTTTAATCGGAACAACATATAACATAATAGTTTGATGAATAAACAATTGATTTAGACTACTAGTTATATATCTAAATCTAAATATTTCCCAGGTCGTGTCTATGGAAACACTTTAACAATTGTGTTTTACCTAATTGTCCACATGTTAATGTTTTTCCTTCTAAGATTAATTCTTTATGGCATAAAATATAAAAAAAGTTCTCAAGAAACTTACCCTTTGGGAAAGAGTCTTAAGTCTTTTCGTGACACAGACAAACTATTATTGCTGCTCGGGGGGACTATAATCCATGAAGAATGAATGACGAAGGTCAACAAATACTATCAGAAAATAAATGTCATTAAAAGTCAAATAAAAGTCTTGTACACATTTGAATTCTGTAGTAACAAAATTCATTCTTTCTTACTTTACGTACTCTTTACATTATAATACAATGTTATACCCTGGACACATTATAAAAGTTATCTTAGTAGGACTAAGTGGAGAGGACAAATTGACAAAGAAAACAATCGTGGTTCTGATCATTGATACAAGGTTCAGAGTACTTTGTGGAATATTTGCACTGGAATAAATCCTAGAGATTCAAGTAAGAAGTGCATTTGTAATTTTCTTACATAAGACTGCTCCCATGCCTCCCCACCTGCCCACCCTAGCTTAGCGATCAAGAAAAATTCTTATTTTTATAACTGGAGAAGCTGCAAAAAGCAATGGCGTTGGTGCCACAGGGGGAAACTTGCTCAGCAGTTGGGCTGGGGGCAAAATTGCCCATTGATTTTTCATCTCCAAGTGCCAATGTCACACAGTAATGATGAGGAAAACCCATATTTTTGCTGGTCAGAGGTTATGGTCTTTGTGTCAAGCATCGTGACTCCCATAAGTATAACAGGAAGCCATTGAATGTGAAAATATAATGGAGGAGTTGGAATTAGCTGTCTACACACTCTTGGCTACTATAAAAATACGCGCACATGGAGAGGAAACCAAAATGAGCCCAAGAGAAAGTAAGAGCACAAGGAGACTTGAGAACTGGTAGTGAAGCTATGAGCACTCCTCTCCCTCACTCACACACTCACACATACACATGCACAAACATCACACGGAAGACTGACTTGCAGTATTTGCACACAGTCTTTAAAAAAATCCTAATGGTGGCGGGGCACCTGGGTGGTTCAGTTGGTTAAACATCCAACTTCGACTTGGGTCATGTTTTCACAGTTCCTGGGTTTGAGTCCCGCATTGGGCTCCGCACTCTGGTAGTGTGAGGCCTGCTTGGGATTCTCCCCCTCCCCTCCCTCTGCCCTTTCCCCACTGGAGCTTTCTCTCTTTCTCTCAAAAATAAATACACTTAAAAAAAAAACTATTGGTTGGCACATAAGCTACAAAATCACAAGGGCAATCCCTTGCACGATAAGCTAAAAAATGAAAACAATAGGAATTTGGAAAACCTGAACAAAAATATCAGCAAGCCAATTTAGAGGAGGAGATTCTGCAGTAAAATTTATGCAATTAAAAAAATAATCTAGGTAAATGAAATAGAATGCATGCTTACTGAACTATATCATCAAAAATGTCTAAAACATCCAAAAAACATGAAAGGAAACTGGAAAGTCTCTTCAATACTAAAGGAAAGCATACGTCAGTAAAAATTCCTACTGGGATAAGATGTTACATTTATTAGAAAAAAAGTATTTTAGAGTAATATTTATAAATGTATGTAAATTATCGTAAGAATTAGTTCAAATAATTAAGTGAAAATATGATGGCTGCAATATATCAAGTAGGAAATATCAGCAAGTAATAAAAGTATACAAATAGACCATAGATAAATTCTCAGTTTATAAAAACATACCAGAATGAAAAAGTCACTAAATCGACTCCTCAGAAAATTTAAGTTACAGCAGAAAAAATTGGTGAAGTTGAAGAAGGAGTAATAGTATTTATTCTTCTCACAAGATGGAAGAGAAAAAAAGAGAGAACACTTAACAGAGTTTAGAGACCTTCCAAACAGTATCAGAAGACCAGCATATGTCTACATATAATCTGAGAAGGAAGAGGAGCAGAAAAAGAAAATCAGAAAGTCAACCCTAAGTCACAATGAATGAATTACTTCTTAAAATTATTTAAGATAATAATTATTCAAATTATTTTGGATCCCAGAGGTTTAGCAAACTCATTGAACTATCACAGAGAAATCCACAACTCAAGACCACTTAATAAAATGACACTTGAGAACACAAAGAAATACTCTTGAGGGAGCAGGACGGATTAAGAGGTGACTAAAGTCAGTGTGAAAATCAGGGAATGGGAATGGGTGACATATCTTCTACCTCCATCAGCCTTAGACTACAATATCCACCACAGAGTCTATATGTGCCTTGCACACTATTTCAGACTGGAGAAGGGGTGACATCAGCAAGATGAGGCAATAGGAACCCCCAGACTCTAAATCCCTCATGGAAACAATAACTTAAAAATGCATTCAAACACAACCCCTGGATATTCAGTCTAATTATTTTTAATAAAGCTTTCAAGATCATTCGATAGGGAAAGAAGAGTATCTTTCACAAATGGTGTTGGGAAACTGACTATCCACCTGCAAAAGAATGAAGCTAGATGCTTACATTTCTACCACATACTAAAGTTAACCGAAAATGAGCTAAAGACCTAAACGTATGTAAAACTAAAAATTCCTTTGAGAAAACATCGGGGGAAATGTAAACAACATTGTAATTGGCAATGATTTCTTGGGTAGGACACCAAAGCAACAGATTCCAAAGAAAAGTCCATTGCAGACAAATGTGTTACATCAAACTACCACATTTCTTTACATCAAAGGGCATGATCAACAGAATGAGAAAACAGAATGGGAAAAAATGCTTTCAAATCATGGGTCAACAAAGGGATTCATATCTCAAATAGATAAGAAATCTTGTAAGTCAGTAACAATACAAAAACAATAACAAAAACCGAAGTACCAAAATAAAAAATGGGGAAAGGAATTGAATCGACATTTTCCCAAAGAAAATGTACAAATAGACAATTGCTCTAGGAAAATCAAGTGTCTTTTTGTGAATATGGGTAATGTGGTATATTTTGGGTTATGTGGGTCTGTTTGTTTTGTTTTTTTCTTTGGCAACAACTTAAAAAATAAAAAGCAAACAAAAAGAAGTGAGACTGACAGTATCAAGAGAAAAACCACTCATTACATTTAGGAAGATAGCAATATGATAAATAGATGAGCCTCACCACAAATAATGAAGAATAAAAGACTGGGAAGGTCAAATTCAGAGCTGAAAGTACTGAAAAAACAAAACAACAACAACAACAACAAAACAAAACAGAAAGTCTCATCAAACAAGAATTATAAATTCAATGGGGCACCTGGGTGGCTCAGTCGGTTAAGCCTCTGACATCGGCTCAGGTCATAATCTCACGGTTTGTGGGTTCGAGCCCTGTGTCAGGCTATGTGCTGACAGCTCAGAGCCTGGAGGCTGCTTCTAATTCTGTGTGTGTGTCTCTCTCTGATCCTCCCTTGCTCACGCTGTCTCTCTCTCTCTCTCTCTCAGAAATAAATAACATTAAAAATTTAAAAAAAAAGAATTCTTAAAATATAATAACAAAAAAGGTAAAATATAAGCAAAATATTTCAATAGATACTTCACCAAAGTATGGATGGCTTATGAGTGCCAGAAAAAGATGATCAACACTATTAGTCATAGAAACACTCACATAAAACCACTACAGACCAGACCTCCTGTTCTACAGTGATAGTGTTGCGCCCGAATTGCGAGTCCCAGAGACCTCCAAGGAGCCGGCACCAGTGCAAATACAAAAGGGTCTTTATTAGAAGCTCAAGCAGGGGCTTACCCGCCTACCAGTGTAGTGGCAGCAGGGTGAAGCCCCGAACAATAGCGAGTAGGGTTTTTATGGGGTCAGGGACAGGGGTGTTACAGTGCATACGTTGTACGTCTAGCATCATCACATAAGCACCAATTACCATTGTACACTGCCCATGGTAACGGATTTGACCATTCAGTACCTGTGAGGTGTTCATTACCTTTGGTGGGACCCAATCATGACTTTTGAGAATCCTCTGAAAATGACCAATTATGAGGTGAGTTCAAAGGGCCCACGTGGGGTTCAGGCAAGCGGCGAGAAATTGGCTAGTTTGTATAAAATAACTGTCTGCGGTTCCCAGCCTTGGCTCAGACCATAGGAATGTTTTTTGATTAGCTGAGCTGAGGGCGGTCCGAGGGTGGCTTCAGCCTTGAGCACTCTGAGGCTTTTTTCTGGAACTGGGGCTACGTGCAGCCCGAGGGTGCTCTTAATGGAGGCCTTAATCTCAAAATGACGTTACTTAGGCTTTTCAATAGGATAGATTTCTCCCAATTCCTCCCTCCAAATACAACTACAACCTGGGACAATACACATGAGACAACATAAGAAGATTCAGAAAGACGATGAGAAAGCTGACAGAACCGAGCACTGGAGACCCGAGGAATGGCAGTGCAGGGTGAGCTCCCTGGAATTTCTCTTTATCTCATATATCCGAGACTGGTGCCAAAGAGGCTACTAAACTACAGACACCAGTCGGTACACACAAAAGTCCCCAGAATGCTTTTTCTCTCCAGTCAAAATAACGGGGAAAAGGCGTGCTAGAAAGACGCGAAGGTTTTAGACACTAACTGCATCATTCCAACAAAAAACCACGGACTATTCAACAAAAATATCACCTAGACATGTAGGGGAAGTCAAGGCATTCTCTGATAAAGGAAAACTAAGAAAATGTGACACCACCAGACCCACTCTGAAAGAGCTGCTGAAGGGAATTATCTAAACAGAGATTAAATGATAAAAGAAAGAATTTTGGATCATCAGGAAGAAAGAACAAAAGAAAGAATAAAACTATTATTAGGTTGAATGGATTTTCCTACACCTCTTGCATTTTCTAAATTGTTTGTATTTGAAGCAAAATTATCAGTTGAAACAAAAGTGTAACACCAATGTGATCCTCAGTGTATATAGAAGAATATTTCAGATGATTATATTATAAATGGACACAATAAAGGGACATAAAGGAAAAGAAAGTTGTAAATTTTACTTAAACTGCTCTGGGGATGATAGTCTGTGTAGACTGATATATGTATATATAATTATCTATATAAACATATATAATACATATTATTTACATAAAGCAGATTAGAGCATATATGTACATATTTACAACTTCGTATATATATAAAGTTAATTGTGAAGTAAAGATATACTTTGTTATAGATTAAGCTCCATCAATTGGGTAATGATGTAGAAAAATGTGACCTTCACTTTTATCTGACACCATCACAAATACAGCATTGCAAAAGTTAAACTCCCAATGGGTCGTAAACCCTATTTAAGAGTTAAAAAATAAAGAGAGAAAGGAAAATAGATAAATTCTAGAAAGTAACATAGGAAATTATATTCATATACTTTCACTAATTTCTGAAAGATCTCCCAAATAATCACTACCAGCCAAAATGATAAACTGGACTGGAGTAACATTAATAAATTTTGGTCATTAAGAGACTCCAATTTGGGAGCAAAAATGTAAGTCACAGAGTCAAAAATCTATTTACATCTTATAAACTCAAGAAAGAGCTCATATCTGAAAATAACCAGGATTCCAAGATGGAAAAGAAGACACCATCCAGGACAAATGGGCAGGAGACGCACTCAAGCCCTTCTCATCCTCAAGATTCACAGCCCAGAAAAATGGTCCTGCTAAATAGCCATCAGAACTTCCTGTATTAAGTTTTCTGAGTTAATTGAGTTTGGGATCAAGGGACCATTAGGTACAATGAGTATTTACAGAATATTCTAGAAAAATGTAATGATAATTTAATATATTGACATATACACAGATTTTTGACCATGCAATTTCATACTAATGATTATAAAAATTATATTATAATCATATATAAACACGAGGATAAAGTTATATTTATATATTATTATTTTATAATGAAAATATAATATTTATATTCCATAAATATACTGTATACTATATGGTTGTGTATAATAAATTATTATAAATATCATATGTGGAAAAAGACATAGGAAAGGCTTTTCATAAAATAAATATTCATAATACCCACATACTAAAAAAATGAATTTCTGAGAATAGATTTTAAAATATCATATTCATAAAACACAGCAGCAATAATTCACAACTATAGACAAATTCAATATTATAGATAGATTACAAATAGCATATGGGAGCGAAGGGAGACACACATAAACATGAATACTGCATGATTCCATTGTATTAAGTCCAAAACTAATCAAAGTTATTTCATAATATAAAAATGGGCAGGGCTGATAGAGACTCTAAGCTTTTTATGTATGTGTGTATGTATGTATGTACTTGTTCATTCATTCATTCATTCATTCATTCAAAGAGCAGAAGCTGGGGAGGGCAGAGAAAGAGGGAGAGTATCCCAAGTGGGGTCCATGCTGTCAGTGAGGAGCCAAGAGAGGGGTTTTATCTCACAAACTATGACATCATGACCGAGCAGAGTTAGAGTTGGACCCTTAACCCACTTAGCCACCAGGTACCTCAGGCTCTAAACTTTTATGATCTGATTTGTAATTACCTGGTTCTAACTACTTTGTGATAAATTTGCACAATCATATGCTTAGCTTCCTTGGTGTGTTAAAATAAATAGGAAAGTTCATTTTAAGTAAATGGGCACTTACAGAAGCACGGTTTTCTATAAAAAGCAATAACTGGAAGTTACCAAAGTTACATTAAAAGTATACAAATATAAATGAAAGTACACTTGGGTGGCTCAGTTGGTTAAGCATGGGACTCCTGATTTTTCCTCAGGACGTCATCTTAGGGTTGTTAGATGAGCCCTGACTCTGACTCCATGCTGGGCATGGAGCCGCCTTAAGATTGTCTCATTCCCCCAACCCCACTCGTCCTTACTCTCTTTCTCTTTAAAAATATATATTTATTTATTTATTTTTATATTATACATATATTATTTATATTTTATATTTATATATAATATTTATATATATATATACATATGTATAGAGAGAGAGCAGGAGAATCAAACTATGAAAATTTAGCAGACTTTAAAGCAAACTACAAGTAGGAAAGCTATGGATTAATTCTATAAATATAATATTAACTAATATACTTTTGATAAAATCTGGAAATCTTGGTATCTTACCGTGTCTTCATTATCTATGTAGAACAGGCTAGATTTCTTAGAAGCACAGGACATCAGACTCCCATTCCATGGTTTTTTTTCAGTGCTGATGTAATAGCAGTGGTTGGAATATATAAGCCACTCTTTTGGACAGCGTCCACAATGATAAGCTAAAAAAAAATTATGATATATCATCCCAAAGAACTTTGAATATTGACAAATTCCAATTAATTTACATAGTTGCATATGTATACACATATATGTATCTATACGCACTCAAAGGATGGTATAAATAAAACAAAATATGACTACTACACTCACAGAGAATGCTCAGCCTCTCATTTCCTAATTTACGTGCCCATATAAAGCAAACACACAAAAATATCCATCCCTACATGTCCCAAAAGACAGCTCTACACATACTGATTGAAACCACTATTTTAAAATAGTAAAATTATTTATCTTTTATTATGTTATAGAAGGAGGGCATTTGAGGCAATTGGTAACAATGGGTGTGGTGATTTTAAATTTTTTTTAATGTTTTATTTATTTCTAGGAGAGAGAGAGAGAGAGAGAGACAGCGTGAGCAGGGGAAGGTCAGAGAGAGAGGGAGTGACAGACTCTGAAACAGGCTCCAGGCTCTGAGCTGGCAGCCAGCACAGAGCCCGACGCGGGGCTCGAACCCACGAACCGTGAGATCATGACCCGAGCGAAAGTCGGACACTTAACCGACTAAGCCACCCGGGCGCCCCGGGTGTGGTGATTTTAAATGAGAATTCCTTTATATTGTTGTATAACAGGTAATTCTCTCCTGTAATCATAATTTCTGAAAATCATGATTTTCTAATTGATTTCCCCAGAAGACTCTATCATCATCCTCTCTAGCCTCTCTAGCCTCAGAGAGAGTTAAAATGGAAACTATACTAATATCAGAATTTTGAATATGATGCTGTACCTTTCTGGACCCTTGTTTCCAGGGAAGAATTGTTCTGTTCTGGTGTGTCAGTACCTAGAAAAATTAAAGCAATCCTGATACAAATGTAATGTTAAGCTAAATAAATCATAATGATTGAGTTTCTTACTTTGAAATTTGGTGTATTGTTTGGAATTAGAAAACTCTGTGGGCACCTGAGTGGCTCAGCCGATTAAGCGTCTGACTTAAGCTCAGGTCATGATCTCACCGTTGGTGAGTTCAAGCCCCACATCAGGTTCTACACTGATAGTGTTGAGTCTACTTTGGGATGGTCCCTCTCCCTCTCTCTCTGTCCCTCTCTCAAAATAAATAAGTAAACTCTGAAAGAAGAAAACTGTAATAAAATTGATTTTCCCAGTAAAAAGTGAATCAATTAATGAAGACGTGGGGAAATCCTTTCAAAAGCCTAAAGAACCAAACCACACCATCTTTTACAGTATTTGGTTTAACCAATCCCAAGAATTGATTTGTGTTTCTCCATTAGGTCTCTCCTACATCTTGAAGAAAATCTGAATGAATATCTATATAATAGATATCTGAATATGTAATACTCTCTACAATTATTGTTATTTCTACTTTTAACAAATTCAGGATAGCCATTCCACATTTACAGCATACATGCACTAAAACGAGATAATAAAATTCATAATGTTATACAATATTTTTAAGCACTGAGGCTCTTTAAAGTGAAACATTCGCTTTAGTCATTCAAACACTTACTTACAGTGAATAACAGCTATTGTGACCACGGTGGACATCAAGACCAGGCAGAGGATTCCCAGGGTCCCAGCAATAAGTTTCCCTGGACATGGTGGCAAAGAGCAGAAAGAGAAATGAAAACACTGAGAAAGGATGCACAGAAAGAATCATTTAGGAATTTTACATACAAGTGAAGCAACGAGGCATAGGAAATCACATATAAAAACTTGGAACTCAAATCCATTATCTACTATTGTAATCTCTCAGAACATACCAATGCACCCGCAGGAAATACATGACCCCATGAGATGTTGGTAAGGATCTACAAGTTACAACAAAGCCTGAACAAAGTTAGTCCTCAGGTTTGAAGTATAATATCGCATTCCAACTTCAAGCTCCTATCCTCACACATGAAAAATACATAAGATCATTCCCTATTCATTCCTTACACCCCTTGCCCCAACTGCACGTCATAGTACAGTTATACTGTGTACTAAATGTTTTTACCTTTGCAGTGCGAGTCCTTGCCACTCCCTTGAAGGTCCTGAGAAGCATTTTGAAGATTTAATTCTGCATAGGTTATTTCCTGCTCAGTTACTGAAATGGAACTTATAGTGCCCTTCGGTATTTTCTGTTTTTTTGAGTACTTAACCTGATTGAGTTCCGCGTACGTAACTCCTTGGTTATTCATGCCTGCAGCTGAGTAAGGTCAGGCACAGTGCTGTCTGAAACTGCACTGAAGAACTTGATGACTAGTGTATGTAATGCAATGTCAAGATTGATAGTACAGTCACACTGGGTGGAGTGTGGGGTGAGGGACACTACTCATTTGCAGTTGAAGGATGTAAAATCTGATACTAATTTCCTGAGAGGTTTAAAGAAGTGTGTCATGATAGAATGGTGGTTTGACAGAATGGAATTGTTTGGAAAAATGTAAACCAATAAATTAGTGAAGAAAGGAATTCATGAATAGTCCTGTCCTTATGACTGTAAGGTCAGATTCCACAGAAACATTTCAACACTATATGAAGAACCAGGTTAAAATTAAATGCTGTATTGGAAAAAAGTGCCACAGCAAAGTTTTGGCAGTTTTTAAATCTAATATTGGCTAAAAATTGAGTGCTCTAAGATTTAGCATATATAGGAATTTCCTATAGGAAATGACTTTTATTTGGGGGCTTACCTATATTTACTAAAAGATAATGCAGTGCCATCAATTGATCTTTTATTTTGAAAAACTGTGGAGTTCTGAGAAATTATGAAATTTTAAAAAATGTTTTATTTATTTCTGAGAGAGAGAGACAGCATGAGCAGGGGAGGGTCAGAGAGAGAGGGAGACAGAATCTGAAACAGGCTCCAGGCTCTGAGCTAGCTGTCAGCACAGAGCCCAACGCGGCACTCGAACCCATGAACCGTGAGATCATGACCTGAAGTCGGATGCTTAACCGACTGAGTCACCCAGGTGCCCCGGAATTATTAATTTTAAATGAAAGATTTTATATGTTGCAAAATGTTATGTGACACACTAAACTCTTCCAAAACCTGAAGAATACTGAAAACAAAACAAAACAAATTTTAAGTACTTATTCAACTCCAGAAATTAATAATTGATTTAATGGCAAAGTATGAGACCATAAAATCATAAATAAAAGTATAGATCATTTACGGGAGAACACTGTTAGTATAAGCTACCAGAAAGATCTATGAATGCAAAGGCAGTGAGGGTAGCTCTAGTTGTATAGGGAATTCTAAATATTCAAATAAATGTAACTTCATAATTTGTCAATGAGGTCAGCAGGTAGAGAAATCTGGAATTCTTCATGGCTCTCAAACATACAAAGTATGACCTTTAAAAAGTTACTTCCTATCTTACAACCTAGTTTTTACTAATCTATAATGGAAATTAAAATAAGTAAAATATAATGCATATAAAGCCCTTAATACTCAATCTGGCTTTTCTAAGTTCTAAATAATCTATCAGTTATTTTAATATTTTTTTTAACACCACACTCACATTATCTTTACTGATACACATGCTTCAGAACATGGAGCACAATTCATTAGACAGGAGTGTCTTTCAGTATTGAATATCTTTTTTGCCAAGTGTTTTTCCATTTTTCAAACAGTCTTGATTGTTTACAGCTCAATTTAAGTTAGCATTTGACAGAAGAGAATTCATCTAGCTTTTTATGAAAAATAAAGCTGTTTTCATTCATCTAAGCAAATGTGTGAGAAGTTATGTTTGGCCTTTTTGATTTGATGGATTCATTTTAAGAATCTACTTCTAACTGCTAGGTAAATATCAAATAATATATGTAATTATAACTCATGACAAATCCAAATTAAGTTTCCTTGTCCCGGCGCTTACGGAATCTCACTTGAATTCATTTGATTTGCAAACACAGTTATGCCTTATGCACTTAGTTGCTGATCCATAGGCAAGAGTTAGAATATTTTAAGAAGTTCTCCACTATATTTCTTATTTTTTTCCTGTTTGTTACCCTGGATTGTTGGAATGCAGATACCAATACTGCCTGTGATTTGATTGTGTATTAGTTGTGCCTCAGGTGCATCCCATCCAACATTTGTATCTCCCACTAAGTGAGGTGACCAGTAGAGAAACAGGGCAAGAGTGACACATACCTTCTGTTGGCCAGACAGTTGTGCATCTTCCAGTGGGAACCAGGTTACTCTCATAAACAGAGAATGTCTGTGATCTTCACAGCCTGTGGGCCCTGTGAGACTTCAGAGTGAGGCAATAGTGGAAAAAACAGATTTCTCATCAATGTGTCACCTAAATTTGAACAGGAAATTCTTACCCTTGGGCTATTTTGAAGACACTTTATCTCATCACACACCTCCAGAATATGGAGCTTGTGTGTCATGTCATTTGGTTTGTCCCTTGGCAAGTGCCTCTGAGAAATGTTTATGTTCCCCAAGACATTGAGGCCAGAGGCTTGACGAATCTGAATCACAAACACTGAGAACTTATGCCTAGTGCAAAATATCTTAGATGTTTAAGTTTTACTTTTAGATAATTCTGCTACATCTTGGCATTACATACTTCTTTTTTTTATGCTCTTGTTATATCATTTCTATTATACTGAGCATAATCTAAAATCATCATCCCTGTAACAGGTATTTAATGGTATTTGACAGTCGTTCTGAAGACTTACTACATGTTCAATTATATTGTCACCGTCACAAAGATAGTAATTTCAAAACCCATCTTCTCAATTTTTCTGCCCTAGTTTTAATATATTTGTACTCAATATTACTCGTAAAGGAGTTATTTGAGCTTCTGTGAAAAAGGTACATGACTGTAGGAAGGATAAAACACTGAACAATAGCACCATGCCAGAAATTTGAATATTAAATAATTACTTACATTGTTCATTGGTTCATCCTCCAGGGATAGCTAATTGTCTCTATTTAACTAGGAAGATTTGTTGTAAATGAGAAAAGCCCAAGTCTAACTAGGTACGTGGGAAAATGAATGTGAGTTTTGAAAAGTTCACTTAACTGACAAAATTGGGAGAGTGCAGAGAAGGTACTTTTAAAACACATTTAAATCACACATGGGCATCAAAAGATATAAAACATTAAACATAGATTACCTAGTTTGCATCAATGGAATTCTTTCCCTTTTTTTTTTTTTAACATTGTTGGATTTCATTTGTGAATAACTTTTGAGGATATTTACATGTATATTTCTATTGGCCTGTGGTTCTGGGTTTTTTTTCAAAATTGGGTGACTATTTTAATGTATTTATTTTTAATGATGGAGATTTGACGTATAATATTATAATAGTTTCAGGTGTAGTCATAGTGATTCCACATTTATACACATTATGATAACAATCATTGCAATAAAGCTCTTTACAAGGTTAATGCAGTATTGTTGCCTATATTCCCGATGCTGTAATGACACCCCTGTGACTTATTTATTGTATAACTGAAAGTTTGTACCATTTACTTTCTTTTGCTTATTTCAGCCATTCCTTTTTGCCTCTTTCCTATGGCAATCACAACTTTGGTCTCTCTATATAGGTGTCTGCTTTTGTTTTGTTTATTTGCTTTTAGATACCACATTATCAGTTAAATCATATGGTATTTGTGTTTCTCTGTATGACTAATTTCATTTAGCATAAAACCCTCCAGATCCATCAATATTCTCAAAATTGAAAAAAAAATTATTCTTTTTTATTGCTGAGCAATATTCCATTGTGTGTGTATGTATCCTTGTGTGTGTGTGTGCATGTGTGTGTGTGTGTGTGTGTGTATCTCACTTCTCTATTCATTTATCTATAGCTGGGCAAATGGATTAAAAAAAATTTTTTTTAATGTTGTTATTTATTTCAGAGAGAGAGAGAGACAGCGCAAGCAGGGGAGGTTCAGAGAGAGGGAGAACACAGAATCCGAAACAGGCTTCAGGCTCTGAGCTAGCTGTCAGCATACAGCCTGAGGCGGGGCTCGAATCCATGAACCATGAGATCATGACCTGAGCTGAAGTCGGAAGCTTAACCGACTGAGCCACCCAGGTGCCCCACAAATGGATTTTTTCTATTTCCCAGCTATTGTAAGTAATGCAACAATAAACATAAGGTGCATACATCTCCTCAAGTTAATGTTTTCATTTTCTTCAGACAGATATGCTGAAAGACTTTGTGGATGTTACGGTATTTATATTTTAAAATTTTTGAGGAACCTCCAGACTGTTACCCATAATGAGTACACAAATTTAAACTCCCACCAACAGTGTATAAGCTTACCTTTTCTGCACATCCTTCCCAACTTCTGTTATTTCTTATCTTTTTCATTCTGACATGTTTCAGTTGATGTATCATTGTGGGTTTGATTTGTATTTTCCTGGTTGTTAGTGATGTTGAATATCTTTTCATGTGTCTCTTGGCCATTAAAAATTTTTTTTTTCAAAGCATATCTACTCAGGTCCTCAGTCCACTTTTTATTTTTAAAATTTTTAAAAAAATTTTTAAATTTATTTATTTCTGAAAGAGAGAGAGACAGCATGAGCAGGGGAGAGTCAGAGAGAGAGGGAGATACAGAATTCAAAACAAGCTCCAGGCTCTGAGCTATCTGTAAGCACAGAGCCTGTCGCGGGACTCAAACCCACGAACCGTGAGATCATGACCCGAGCCGAAGCCGGACGCTTAACCGACTGAGCCAGCCAGGTGCCCCCCTCAGTCCATTTTTTAATCACTTGTTTCTGTTCCTTCGATGATGGGCTGTAGGACTTCTTCATGTATTCTGGATATTAACCCCTTGTCGGATATATCGTTTGCAAATATCACCTCCCATTCAGAAGGCTGCCTTTTTGTTTCATGGATCATTTCCTTGGATGGGCAAAAACTTTGTTGTTTGATGTGTTGTTTATTTTTCATTTTATTTTCCTTCCCTAAGGAGACACACCCAAAGGAATAAAGTTAAGAATATTTCCAGGGTTTTTTGCCCATCCTTTCTTTTATGAGTTTTATGGTTTCTGGCCTTACATCTAGGTCTTTAATTCATTTTAGGTTCATTTTTGTGTATGGTATAACAGCATGGTCCAGTTTTATTCTTTAGCACATAGATTTCCAGGTTTTTAAACACCATTTGCTGAAGACTCTCTTTTCCCCATTGTCTATGTTTGATTTTTTGGTCACATATTAGCTGATGATATAAACTCAAGTTTACCTCTGGGCTTTCTATCCATTCCTT